TTGTGAAGTTATTGGTGGATATCAGTGATCTAAACTATTCTATTTTGATTTACCATCTAAAAAAGCCATAGATTTCATGAAAGAGTCCCTAAGAATTGAGGTCGAAAAAGTCCATGAAATTATATGAACTTTTTGTTTCTCTGTTTTCTGTTTCTCCTATTAAGTCTGACGTGTGCTTGGAGGTTTTTGGTTAATAAGCTCTCATTAATTCATTTTATATAATTATTCGAACTTCTAAACATGATTTTTTATTTCTAAATTCAGCAGATATCTACTTAATTTAGTGTAAATATTTTAATTGTAGGAAAAATGCAGACTTAGATTCAATTAACTTAAATAAAGATGATTTTGAGCATGATTACAGTTGAGTCGGAACAAATGAAGAATAACTAGATGCACTTGATCAACTAGAAGTATTAATTGCACAATGAAAGAAATATTCAAATTTTAGTAGCTAAGTTCGATATTTGAAATATTTGACGACTTGATTGTAGGCTATTGAAACTTGCATTGGGTATATTACAGATGATTATGAAGGATGAAGATTGAATTATAAAGATTTAAAGATGAAGGAACCATGGTACAAATAAGGAAGGACTCGAGTTGAACCAAAGGAGGAAGCCAGGACCAAGGAGCATAGGGAAAAGGTTGTGACCTTTCGACTGCAAGACCACAATAGTGCAATCACAAGTTATAGAATTTCACTTCCAGCGTTAAAAACTTCATTATCTTCCCTAATTTCCTTTAACCCGACGCCTAGGTACTATCTCTATCTCATTCAATCACTTTAACCCGATCACAAGTTATAGAATTTCAGTGCTAGCTCCCTATCTCATTCATTCACTTTAGGCTCCTAGGCATCCTAACCCGACGCCTAGGTACTATCTCTCTGATGTAAAAAGTGCCCAAAGCATTTTCATTCGTTCCAAAGTCTTTTTTCCAATCTAACTTCCAATCCTTGATGAATTTCGATCCACTTTCAAATCGGACTTCCGACCAAAATTGTTTATTTCCTCTTTATCAATCAAACAACACAATTCTAATCTAAATAGGAATGTGGGTCATACTCCAACGGCTGGACATAATAGTTGATATACACAAGTTTAATTTGGCGATGACGTAATAATCTTTCGAGATAAATCAAAAAAAAGTTTAGGAAATTAAACCCACACCCTTACTATTGGCCAAGCCTTATGCATTAAATATTAAAACCTTATCTATGGATAATTGAGGTCCTTCTTTCTAATTTAAAGTATGGTAGAAACTTTTTGTAAGGCATTTTAGAAGTGATGGTCTGTCGAGTTTTTGCAGTAGTCTGAGAACAATGGTCAATGTTAGTATTTTTCTGGTAGTGTTCGTGTTGACAGTAGCAAGTTGTGATGGAGGTTGAGAACTAGCATGTATTTGGTCTTGACTAGGGTTCAATTTTCAAGTTATGCTTAGATTCTTGATGGTCTACAATGGATACGAGGAAGAGAAACCTTCCATAACCATCATTTAGGTGCTTAATCTAATTTCTATCTTGTGGGATGCACAATCCAACAGATCTCCATCTTAATGCCAACAGATTTAACACACAAGAAGTTTATATTCTTTCCACTCAACTATTTTCTTTCGAACATTTTTACATAAATGAATAGTACCTTGACTATTTAAATAAGCAACTACCGATTTATAAAGCACATTGATTTCAAATAATTACCATTTTAACCACAATGGTCATAGATTACCTATGTAGCTGTAATGTATTCAACTTTAGTAGAATGTGTTGCTGTTGAGATTTCCAACTTCTATTGGTGCAACACAAAGTGAATATATATACAGTAGTTGACTCTCTGGTATTGCATCTTCAGCAAAATCTGCATCTACAAATTCCTCAATTATTTTCCTTCACTATAGGTGTCAAAACACTAAGCTTAAGAGTGATATACCTTTAAGGTACCATATACCTTTAATGTACCTAATAAATACTTCAAACCTTCCCAATGTTCAAGCCATAGATTGTCCATGAATCTATAATATACTTATAGCATAGGTCATATCTGGTTTAGACGTTTAGTATATGTCATGGTGTATTTGAACGAGCCCGCAACATTTACATAAGGTACCCTTTCCATATAACTAATATTTATTATTATAAAGGGGGAACTCGCAGCCGCTACCCTTTGGGTGTGCATTAGGTAAACCCTCGGGCTGACGCAATAGCCTGCAAATCACGCCAATCAGGTAAACTGCACTAGGCAAGTTCGGTGTGACAGGCTCAACCAAGAAAGTGTTGATAGAGGGAATCAAACTCGTGACCAAAGGTCTCTACGCTCACCTACAAGATATTGTTCATTCAATTTGAAATAACTAGCTAAATGTAAAGTAATAGATTTTAACTCTAAAGAGAATTTTGATAAAAACCTTTTAAATGTATACAATTTATTTCAAAATCAATGCATGCTTTGACCTTCACCTTCCAATATCCATTCCTAGAATCCTTGTAACGTGCCCCAGATCTTTCATTTCAAATTCAATGTTAAGTGTTTCATTTAACTAGTTTAAATAATACATATTAGGCCCAATCAATAACATGTTATACAACAATAGATAAACAGTCACACGCTCATTAGAATAATTCATAGAATATAAGCAATGATTAAAATAACTCAGTGTTATTGAACTTGGCCCGGACCGGTCGATCAAGCAGAGTATAGAGATTTGGTCCAAATGTAAGTGACCTGGTTTTTCACCAGGTCAACCAACGGTGAATTCAAACTGTGGGCCGATTGATCAATTTTGACCAAGATTCAATTAAAACATTTCAGAAGCCCAAAGAGTTGAACCTCATAACTCTTAAGTTAAATGAACAATTCCTTACCACTGGAGCATAGAACAACATAATCTGTACATAAGGATGTCAACGAGCTTAGCCAAAACTTGAAGCTTGGGCACAACTCGAATAAAAATGGCTAGGACTTTTTCTTTGCCCAAATCGTGTTGGGACCGATGAAGACAACGCAAGAATTGAGATTTGATGAACCCAATATGAAGTATAAATAAAGATCACAAAATAACCAAGAACAAGATTAAAGTAAAAGATGCAAAATAAAAGGGAACTGGCAGAGGAACGATGTTACTTTATTCAATCACTATGAAAGGAGAGAATTACAGCAATTGGCTTCAACAATATTGAAAGAGGAGTCCTATATTTATCGTACACAAGTCTAGTCCAAGGAATTGGCAAAAGATGGAAATTAAGAAAAAAGGTAAACAAAGAAAAAAGAGGAAAAAAAAATCTGTCGAGACACGTGAACATGGAACACGCCACTTTCCCTATTTCTTTGGAATTGATTCCAATTTGATTCTTTCATATTTCCACATGGCTCCAATAAGATTTTCTTTCCTTAATTTGCAAAATAGAACTTTGATTCCCTTTCCTTTTGTCTGCCACTTCCAAAGACTCCTAATTTGAGTCATAATTTAACAAATCGAACTTTTGCTCAGCCAAAAAATCTAGGCTTGATCCGAGCTTGCTCCCTCGTCTTCTTATATAGTTGCTACTTAAGGCAATGTGTGTTGCCTTAACAAAGGCAGCAACCTCAAGGCAGTGAAGGCTGAAGCAACCTTATAACAGGCAACTATTGCAGCCTTGTTAACTCAACAACATAAGGCAGTTGTACAACTGCCTTGTAGGCAATTTTTTTCTCTCTTTCAAGTTTTGCAGATTTTTTTATTTATTTACAGGCCGGCGAGCCACATGAGTCAGTTCGGACGCAACCTCAAGTCGACGGCCTAAAATGGAGCTCGACCCGAGCCGAAAAGCCAAATTGATACCCTTATTTGTATATATCTGAAAATCGTTAATAGTTAGCTAAATATTTTGAAAAAATTGTAGTCCAATATTTTACTTTTATTTTATAGACATATTATTTATTGAAAGATTTATTTTAATTAAGATGCATTGAATGTTTAACAAAATTTATAATTTCAAACTGTATAAATAATTAGTAACAAAAAAAACTTAAAATCTTTAATGTTACCTCCAAGAAAGAATTTTATACTTTAAGGGGTTGTTTGAACCCCCCCCCCCCCGNNNTTTTTTTTAGGGCTTTTTTGAACCCCCCCCCCCCCCACCTTTTTTTTTTTTCAAAAATGTATTTTGCAATGTATTATGATGGATAATATGTATTTAAAAAATAAGGAAAGTTTTGAGCTTGCATGTAACATTATTTTATTGAAAAAATATGTGATTGAAATGGAGTCAAATTACTTTTCAAAAACGCATTTTGATGGAAGAAATTGGGGCTCACAAAGGGCTAAATGTTTTTTTTTTTTATAATTTTTAAGTAATGACCCATCGGTCCAACCAGTAACTCGAGATCCAGTGCCTCGACTGGGTTGATGTGCGGGTTGGGTCTGATAACTATGAAATAACTTATAAAATTAATAGTTAAAACAAAAGTATTAAACATTTTGTACTATTGTCTTAGTGATTGCTTAAGATTGTATAAAGACTTTTCATTTGGCTTACAAAATCAAATTTATATTTATTTGTGAAGACTTATGACTGAGACTTATGAATGGTTTCTTCTAAATAACCATTGCAAAAAAAAAATAGTTTTTACGTCCATTTGTTTATCTTCCAAGTCATAATGTAGAACTAGCTAAAAAAAAAAAAAAGCTCTTATTGCAATACATTTTACACGTGAGAAAATTTTATTTTGGTCAATGCCTTGTTTTACAGCACATAGAAATCCCACAACTTTAGCTCCCGTGATTTCAGTATTACAGCATATAGAAATCCCACAAGTTTAGCTAAACTTTAGCTCCCTTGATTTTAGTCATCTCCCAGAATTTTGTATAGATGATTTTATTTCCATGTAAACCATGTCCATGTACAGCTTTATAAAGCATACTGATCAATGAGAAATATAAGATAATTGTTTCTACCATTTTACTTCTTTTCATGGTATCAGAGCCTCAAAAATCTTGACATACCTTCACCCAAAATTCTCATGGCTTCCGATGCTCTAGCTTCCCAAACTTCTTCTCCCTATCTTCTACACCCTTCTAATTCCCCTAGTCTAATTCTTGTAACCGGCCATCTCACTGGAGATAATTTCCCCAGATGGCAACGCGCACTTCGCCGAGCCCTCAGTGCAAAAAATAAATTATGCTTCGTTGATGGCTCCCTCAAAGCACCAAACACAACTTCTCCTGATTATGCCCAATGGAGTAGGACCAAAGACAAGGTCTTGACTTGGATTCTTAATACCATCATTCCCTCCTTAGCCAATTCCTTAGATTACCGTGACGATCCCCATGATGTATGGCTCGACCTTGAGTCACGGTTCTGCCATGGCAACAATGCCTGCCTATTCCAGCTCAAACGAGAAATATCTAACCTTCATCAGAACCAACTTTCCATTCCTGATTATTACAACAGCATCAAGCAAATTTGTGATGAACTCGACAATCTTCAATCACCCACCGATGCTAGTACTTTGGAAAAGAGAGCCGAGGATGAGCGTTTGTTCCAGTTTCTACTAGGTCTCAATGACTCATTTGCAGCTCTTCGAACCCAGATACTAGCCACTGATCCTCTTCCACCCCTCAACAAAGTTTTCTCTATTCTTTTCCAAGAAGAGAAACAACGACTCCTTCATGTCCCTCAGTCACTCTCAAAAAACCTAGCCCTTGCCGCCAAGTCCACCCACAACTATTGAGCCCCTCCTAAATGTACTGAATGTGGAAAAATTGGACACTCATGCAATCGATGTTGGCTCCTCATTGGCTACCCTCCTAGCCATGAACCCCGCAGCAATCAACCATCACTTCTTGGAAAACCACCTGTTGCTACTGCTAGTCTTGTCAGCTCCACCTCAAGCCCCATGCCTGGTCTATCACAGGAAAACTACCAGCAGCTGATGATGCTCCTTCATCCTCCTTCTCCGGCCGCTAATTTTGTGGGTAACTCCTCCACAATGCCTTGCTCCTTCAACCCACAGACGGACTGGATCATTGACAGTAGCGCTAGTGATCACATGAGCCATTGTCGATCCTCCTTCTCTAATCTAAATTTGTCTCCCATTGCTCGTACAGTGAGGCTACCCACGGGAGAAACTATTCCTATTGAATGAATTGGTTCTGTGCCTTTATCTGACCATTTAATTCTTCAAAATGTCCTTTATGTCCCTTCCTTTTATTATAATCTTCTCTCTATCCCTCAACTTACTAAAAATCTATCTTGTGTTGTTTTTTTCTTATCTTATAAATGTTTTTTTAGGACCCTCCATTGAAGAGACTGATTGGAGCGGGTGAGGCATGTAATGGGCTCTACCTTTTTCGCTCCCATGAGACCGTGGCATTCTTTGTTCGTCATCTTGATAATAAGACACTGTGGTATCAATGCTTAGGTCATCCTTCTAGCTTTATTATTCCCACAATTTTTGATAATCCATGTACTCTATCTCATTGTGATGTTTGTGAGCATTCAAAGCACACTCGTTTACCTTTTCAAATTCATGCTGATAAAAGTTCGAAACCTTTTTATCGTCTTTATTGTGATATTTGGGGTGGCTATCCTACCGCTTCCATTTGTGGCGCACATTATTTCTTAACTATTATTGATGATCTTTCAAGCACTACATGGATTTATTTAATGCATTTTAAATCAGAAACCTTTAGTCACTTAATGCATTTCTTCGCTCTTATTAAAAATCAATTCAACTCATCAATTAAAATAATTCGCATCGACAATGGACAAGAGTTCCTTTCACATAACCTCCAAACCTATTTTCACACTCACGGCATCATCCATGAGCGTGCTTGTGTTGAAACTCCGCAACAAAATGGCGTTGCAGAGCGTAAACACAGGCACCTCCTAAATGTTGCTCGTAGCATTTGCTTTTAGGCAAACCTACCACTCAAATTTTGGAGAGATTGTGTTCTTACTGCTGCTTATCTAATCAACAGAACCCCAAGCCGCTCCCTACAAAATCAAACTCCTTTCCAACTTCTTCTCAACACCCCCCATCATACACTCACCTACGTGTGTTTGGTTGCCTTTGCTACGCTCAAACCCTCATCGCTCATCGCGACAAATTCTCACCCAGATCATCTCGTTGTGTCTTCATTTGTTACCTTAGCAACCGCAAAGCTTACACGCTATACAACCTTGACACCAACACCATTTTTTACTCACGCGACGTCACCTTCCACGAAAATCAATTTCCCTTCCATCACATCACACCCCTCCTCTTAATGACTCCACCATCATTCCCTTACCTATCACCGAACCCATATCTCCTCTCCCTTCCTCGACCATACCTCAAGAACCCCCACCCACGGCCACTATTCCTTCCCGACCTCGTTGCCACAATACTCGTCCAGCATATCTCCTTGATTATGTCTGTCCTACTATCCCTGCGGACTCCATTGTCTCTTCAACCACTGCACAGTCCTCAGGTACTTCCCACCCCTTATGCACTTATCTGTCATACTCTTGTTTTTCTTATGCTCATTATTCATTCTTAACTGCTCTTACTGCTTCTGTTGATCCGACTTGTTACTCAGAAGCAAATCGCCACTCTCATTGGCGTGAAGCTATGGCCTTTGAACTTCGTGCCCTTGAAGAAAATTCCACTTGGACACTAGAAACCCTCCCTCCTGGTAAGAAACCCATCGGTTGTAAGTGGGTATACAAAACAAACTCCGAGCAGATGGCACTATTGAACGATACAAGGCCTGAATTGTAGCCAAAGGCTACACTTAATTAGAGGGAATTGACTATCATGAAACTTTTGTCCCAGTTGCCAAAATGACCACAGTACGCTGTGTCCTTGCTGTTGTCGCCACCAAAAATCGGGTCATCCACCAAATGGATGTCCATAATGCCTTCCTACACAGTACACTTGATGAGGAAATTTACATGATCCCACCACCCGACTACTGTGTTAAAGGGGAGACACGAGTCTGCTGCCTTCGAAAGTCACTCTATGGCCTCAAACCAGCTTCCCGTAACTGGTTTTTTAAACTAACATCTGTTCTTCTTAATGCAGGTTTCATTCAGTCACAAGCAGACCACTCCCTATTTACCTTGATCACTGTAACCAGTCTCACTATTATCCTTGTTTGCATTGATGATATCTTGGTTGTTGGCAATGATCTTTCTCAGGTTATCTTCTTCAAGAGCGTTCTTTCCAGCAACTTCAAAACCAAGGATCTCGACCCTCTTAAATATTTTCTTGGCCTTGAAGTTGCACGATCTCCCTTTGGCATTTTTCTTAATCAATGAAAATATGCCCTGGACATCCTCGTCGACAGTGGCCAACTTGGTTCTCGTCCTGCACCTTTTCCTATGGAACAAAATCTAAAACTCAATGACACAGATGGTAACCTTCTTCTTGATCCCGCTTCTTCCCGACAGTTAGTGGGACACCTCATTTACCTCACCATCACCAGACCTGATATCATCTTTGCAGTAAACATTCTTAGCCAATTAATGCATGCGCCTCGGACCCCTCACATGACAGCTGCAACACATGTCCTTTGCTATATTAAAGGGACTCCTGGACAAGGACTTTTTTTCTCTTCCTCTAATAATCTTCATGTTTGTGCTTACACAGATTCTGATTGGGCCAGTTGTCCTACCACTCGACGCTCTACCATTGGCTTCTTCATCACACTTGGTTCAGTCCCATTTCTTGGCGCACTAAGAAACAAACTACAGTGGCCTGCTCCTCTACAGAAGCTGAATATCGTGCTATGGCTGTCACAACATGTGAACTAATTTGGTTAAAACAACTCCTCCATGACATTAGCATCTCACACAATGACCCAATGACCCTCTACTGTGACAATTAGTCCGCCCTTCACATTGCTCAGAATCTAGTTTTCCATGAACGAACAAAGCATATTGAGATAGACTGCCACATCGTTCATAACAAACTCCGTTCTGGTCTCTTCACCACTGCTCATCTTCCATCTGCCGAGCAGATTGCCGACATCTTCACCAAAGCATTAGGATCTGATCTCTTATTTCTCTCGCAAGTTGGGCATTACGAATCTTCATGCACCAACTTGAGGGGGCGTATTACAGCACATAGAAATCTCACAACTTTAGCTCCCATGATTTCGGTATTGCAGCATATAGAAATCCCACAAATTTAGCTAAACTTTAGCTCCCATGATTTTAGTCATCTCCCAGAATTTTGTATAGATGATTGTATAGATGACTTTATTTCCATGTAAACCATGTCCATGTATAGCTATATAAAGCATACTGATTAATGAAAAATATAAGATAATTGTTTCTACCATTTTACTTCTTTTCACCTCGTGTTTGAGTGAAGCTTTCTGCAACTAAGTTGGCTTTAAACTTCAAGGTTTTTTAAAAGAATCCCATTTTTTAAATTTATAGATACATTTATAGTCAAGTAAGGTCTTATTTTCGGGTTTTGGATCTAAAATCGAACTTTTTAGTTTTATTAAGGGATTCCGTTTCTTTATCCATGGCAAAATGCCATTTTCTATATTGTAGACTACTTGCAGCTTAAACATATGTTTTCTGTTCTTTAAAATTCCCTCTAGATAAGATACAGAAAGTGATAGATGATCAGTGTACCTAGAACTCTCCTTAATGTCTCTTCTCAATCTATCACTTGGCAACTGATAATCTCCTAATAGGTTGTTGACATTCTTAAGTCTCTTCTTAAACACTATCTGTAACACCCCGAACTCTCTAAACCCTTAGCGTTAAAAAATCAATTTTTCTTTGATTTGAACCCTTTGATATTAACCAAAATAAATTTTAAATGAGAAAATTTTTGGAGTTTGAAATATATAAAAATAGCGTAAGTATTTGTCCATATAGGCTTAAACAATTCTAGTGAAAACTTGATTTTGGAAAACATTTTGGGAAAAATCAGCAAGTATCAGTTATACAGTAGTGGAAAAAAAATGCTAGTCTAACAAATGTCGACCAAAAATTATGAAATTTTACCAGAGACTAAAACATTCATATTTGTATAATATATAAAAAAACTTGGGGTCTCGATGATAATGTTTGGAATACGAAAATATTGTTCGACTATGCTGGACAGAAAATTCAGATTTGACCCGATGCAGTTTACTAAAATGAGCATAACTTCTTCTTTAGGTAATATTTTTGGGAAAAAGACCATATTAGAGGACTCATAAACTTTCAAATCTAACCGATTTCACTCTGAAACATGTACTGTAGCCCAAGTTATGCCATTTTGAGTAGAAGAGCAGAATCTAAAAAATTGATGTAGCAATACTTAAACTTCATACATAGTTAAATACAACATTCATAAATTATAGTCGACATACAATATATATAAAACTAGATGGAATCGACGTTTAAACATTTTTGAAAGTGTCGTCTAAGAACATAAGACATTTACACGAACTATAAATTTTACTAGAAAGTTGAAAGTTTTTCAAATCACCGAGAACTTGATACTATGTCAAACCACTGACATGCCTTGAATTAACTTGAAAAAAAAAATTAATAGAGATGAGTACCACAAGTAATACTTAGTAGGAAAATACTTAAGTAAATGGTAAAAATATATATTTTCAAAAATGCAAACTTTGGTAATTTGTATCACTGTCAATCTCTTTCTCTTATTTGAACCACCAAACGGTGCTTCCATTATGAGTAATACAATAACACAAATGTAAACTTTGGTCATTAATGTCACCTTCAACTCTTTCTCTTATTTGAACCACCAAACGATGCTTCCATCATGAGTAACACAATAACACGTTGAATGCAAAACAAAATTAAATAATTCTTATATCACTTACAAAAGTGCTGAAGACAATTCTACCTTAAATACTTGAGTTTGAATACCCTTTTGTGTCCAAAATAAAATGCTGGGTACTCTAAGCCACTCCTTTAGATAATTTCAAATTCAAAGTAACTTTCGTCTATGAAAAAAAAAAAAAGACAAAATAAATTTATGTATAGGCAAAATAGTTTGGAAGGAAAAACATGGCTTTAGGGGTTGTAGGAAGTTATTGTTTTGAATTTCAAATGGAGGTGACAGTTTGCAATAAATTAAAATGGGAGTTGGCAAATGTGGAAGTTAATATGTAAGTGGGGGTTTTGATGTTTTTGAAGTACAAAAATGAAAATGCAAATTGGTAGTTAACCAAAAATGGAGTGAAAATGCCAAGTAGAAATTTTATATGCATGATTGGTGGATTTGTTGATATACGTGCCCCCATTATTTATTTATTTAATAGCTATAAACTGGGGTTTAAATGATAAGGTAAGTTGGGATGGTTATGGCAATATGTATAATAGGTTATCTAATCTAAATTTTAAAGACTTAATGTAGATACAATTAATATAAAGTGTGTCGTAAAAAATAATGTAACCCAATCAAAATAAAAATAAAATTGTCATTTAAGAGAAATTTTGACACCTTGCAAATTTTTAAAAACAAGTACGCGAACTTTACTATCGTGACCAAAGCTTTAATTTGAACTCTTAAGAAATGGACGTAGCGATGTAATAATATAACCTAAATTATGTTCGAGTTCTACAAGAAAATTTTATTTCAAAATGAAATACAACATTTTTTTTTTTGTCACTACAGTATCCTCTCCCGACTCTCCTCTTATGTGTAATTTGATTTAGGATCCTGTGGAGGACTCAAGGGAGACCTGGAGCCTTATATTACCTACTGCTTCTATATCTTCTGATTTCTTGACACTCAAACGAGGAATATTGGATTCATTAAATCTGATGTCCCTACTGTTGATGATTTAAAAACCTTTCAGGCCTCTAGCCAATGATGTTACCTCTTTCACTCTCCTTGCATATCCTAGGAAAACCCACTTTTGGGCTCTAGGTTCTTATTTTCCTGAACTCTGATGTGA